ATAATAATTATGTGAACTACAATAATGAACATCCAGTAGGAACCCCCAAAAACCCGGTGTCACAAGTGCATGAGCATCTACTAAGGATTACAATAACAATACAGCATTTTTCTTGAATACAAGTTAGACAGGAGAATATAAATAACTCTGATGGAGACTCTGTATGATACGGGTCGTAACATGGAATGCATCTTACCATGAAGTCCCCGCAATAACCGCGCCCTTGCACTCAATAAGTATAGCATGAGTACGTAAATCAACGCACACCCAGCATGTATCTAGCCTAACCCTAGAGAAGTACTGACGAGGGGTCAACATCGATACTTACTAGTGGTCCAATAAATTATATACAGTAAGAAGTAAACAAATACAAGGCAGATTAAATAAAAAGTATAAACAAATATAAATACGAGGTACAATCTTCCTCTGAACAATAACTGAAGCTTTCAATTAGCAGTTACCTCCTCAATCAGAATATTAATAAAATGGACCTAGCCAGATAGGTCATCACAACTCAAATTAGGATAACACACGGATACGCTGGTTTCTTGTCAAATATTATGCGCGACGCCGCTGAGGCGAACGGCCCAATCCTATAAGAGTATTTATAGAAATGCTGAGGCGAACGGCCCGATCCCATCAAGATATGTACACTACAAAGGGTCGAACGGCACAAACCATATATGCATCTTATATAATGCCGAGACGAATGGCCCGCTTCTATAAGAATATGATACTTTAATGGGTCCTTGACCCCACTCACGAATATACATGTGAGTTATGAAATTTTAAGAAGCTTTTCGATGAAAACGCACAACGCGACAGAAATTCCTAAAGGAAGCACAATTATTCCATGGATTATCAAGTAGCTCGTCACATCTCTACAATAGCGGGTCTATTACCTAGTGCAAGTATAGTCTCAAGTCGTAACGCAAAATAAAGGAATTAAATGAGCAAATATAACTCAAATAGTATAATTATAGCATAGCGTGAACCTAAGTCTACCATGACATAATCAGGAATTCAAGATACGCACGGATACTCGTCAACTCTTACGTATGCAGCCCCCACAACATGTAGCACATAAGAATGTAACACCTATGGGGTAAATTCCCCCTCACAGGTTAGACAGGAGACTTACCTCGCTCCGAATTTCCATTACCGGCTCCAACGCCATTCTAACACTCAAACGGATGCATGTCCTCCAAAACTAGTCAAACAATGTGCAAACAAATAAAACTATACTCTAATACTCACAAATAAAACTATACTCTAATACTCATAATAAATCAATTTATAACAACTCCCAACTCCGCTCGAAAAGTCAATAAAGTCAACCCTCGGGCCCACGTGCCTGGATTAAGAAAATTTTCAAAGATAAACTTCACTCATAACACCACGAACTCAAATATATAATTTATTTCAAATTCCACGTCCAATTTCATGGTCAAAACCCAAAAATACCAAATTCTAGGGTTTCTACCAAAATCCCAAATTTCTACTAATTTTCATGTCACAATCTATGTATAAATCATGTATTTAACTCACAGTGAGAAGAAATCACTTACCTCCTAGTTGATGATGTAAATAGTGCTCCAAAATCGCTCCCAAAGTCGGCTCCCATGAAGAAATGGAGTGAAAATGAGACGAATCACACTTTAAAACAAATCTACCCAGGCCTGACCTTCATCGCGTTCGCAATCTCTTGAATGTGTTCGCGATGCCCAGCTGACCCTGCCCTTCGCGTTCGCGTTCCAAGCCTTGCGTTTGCATTCCATGCCTCGTGTTCGCGAAGGTCTTCTGCCCAACAGCAATCACAGTCTTATTCGCATTCGTAGAGAAGCCTACGCGTTCGCGAAGTAGGGCCAGGTCCTTCTTTGTATTCGCGTTAGCCTCATCACGTTCGAGAAGAGAAAAAATAGGGGCCCTTCATCAGCCTTCTTCGCGATCGCGAAGCACACCTGTGCAGCAGCACACCAGCAATACCAAAACAACGAAACTTTGTCTGAAACCACCCCGAATCACGCCCGGGGCCCCTGGGCCTCCGGGACCCCGTCCACTCATACCAACAAGTTCAAATACCTTATACGAACTTATCCAAAGGCTCGAAATGCCACAATTAACATCAAAATCATGAATCGACGATCAAAATCTTTCTTTCAACTTCCAAACTTCGACAAACGCGTCTGAATCATATAAAAACATTCCGGAATGATGCCAAACTTTATGCATAATTCACAAATTACGATACGAACATATTCCAAGGCTCGGAACCCTAAACGGACATCGATAATATAAAAATTAACTTCAAGCCAAACTTAGGAAATTCTAAAACCTTCAAAAATGTCAACTTTCCGTAATAAGCGTCGAAATGCTCCCGGGCGACCCGATACTCGACCCGAGCATACGCCCAAGTCAGGAATCATCATACGAACCTATTGGAACCTTCAAATATCGGTTCAAAAGTCGCTTACTCAAAAGTCAAACCTGAGTAACTTCTTCCAACTTAAAGCTTCCGAAATTAGAATTTTCCATCTGAATCAACTTTGAACTTCCCAAAATTCAACTCCGACCATGCGTACAAGTCATAACACATTAAGTGAAGCTACTCAAGATCTCAAACAGCCAAGCAACGCGCTGGAGCTCAAAATGACCGGTCGGGTAGATACACTCACACAGGTCTTCGCTCCCTCATACATGTCTTTAATCACCCTAATATAGGACACAGGTACCGCTCTAGCCTCCAAACATCTCCACATAACCTCCTCTGGACTTTATTGTAAGCCTTTTCTAAATCGGTGAACACCATATGCAAGTCCCTCTTCCTCTCCCTATATTGTTCCATCAATATCCTAACAAGGTAATGGCTTCCGTAGTCGAATGCTCTGGCATAAACCCAAACTGGTTCTCGGATATAGACACCCTTCTCCTCACCATTAGCTCCACCACCCTCTCCCACACCTTCATAGTATGACTAAGCATCTTAGTACCCCGATAGTTGTTGCAATTTTGATATCCCCCTTATTCTTGTACACAGGAACCATCATGCTCCATCTCCACTCTTGGGACATCTCTTTTATCCTAAAAATGACATTAAATAACCTTGTATGCCACTCCTCGCCCGCCCTGCCCACACTCTTCAAAAACTCCCTCGGGATTTCATCTGGCCTGGTCGTTCTGTCCCTGCTCATCTTACGCATAGCCCTCACAACCTCCTTAACTCTAATCCGCCTACAATACCCAAATTCGCAATGACTCTCGGAGGATCCCAAATCAACCTGAACAATGTCTATGTTCCCATCCTCGTTCAAAAGACTATGGAAGTAAGTCTGCCATCTCTGACGGATATACGCCTCATCTAACAAAACTCTACCTTCTTCGTTCTTGATGCACTTCACTTGGTCCAAGTCACGGGCCTTTCACTCTCTCACCTTGGCTAGCCTAAACATCCTCTTATCCCCACCTTTACCCTCAGGTTCTTTATACTAATGACTAAATGTTGTAGTCTTAGCTGCCGTAACTGCTAACTTTGCCTCCTTCCTAGCCAACTTATACCGCTCCCTATTCGACCTCTTCTCCTCCTCGTCAATGCTTTCCACTAGCTTCAAATACACCGCTTTCTTGGTGTTTACCTTTATTTTGACCTCTCTATTCCGCCACCAGCCTCCATTGCGACCACTATTGTAATCCTTCGAGACCCCTAGGACCTCTCTAGCAGCTTCCTTAATGCACTACGCCGTCGTGGTCCACATCAGGCTCGCATCCCCACTACTCCTCCATGAAAATAGTAAGTAATATGATATAACACATAAGTTTATTTAATAACAATGGTGAGTAACCTAAAACAAATGGTAAATAATACAATATAACAAGTTAATTTATATTGATGATGTAAAGACCTTATTGTATTTATTTACAGTGTATATCTTCTAAACGGTGGAACAATCCTAGTTCCCTCAGTTACAGTGTATATTTCCTTTGGCTTCTCATAGGTTATATGTGTATCCCTGTTATGTTTTGATGATCTAACAAACTTATTGTTAAGAAACAAATAAGGAACCTGTTACAAATCCTCAATTACTTAAGATCAACAAGTCTCCAGTCAGGGACGAGTTAAAGGAACAATAGAGAGAACAGGTAGCTACCAGTTCCCGTGGTGACTGTACAAGTCAACTCCCCACAGCTGTAAAGTTGTTGCCTGCACATGCAATATTACAAAAACAATGCAGCAGTCAACTTTATGCGGAATGCGCTTTACCTAACTTGCTTGCATCATTCAAGTGATGTCACAAATGAATTGTTAACATCAAGCAAAGGTAAAACAAAGCGCTTGCACATTCAAGAATCAATCAATCATTCTCACAAGTGATCAATTAATCTGGCAAGTGATTCTCAAGGATATCAAGAACAAAGAAAAACATAACAATGGACCAGTTCCCTGTATCGAGTTATTGCATGTCCTTAGTTGTGTTGCACCTTTGTTAAAGTACTTTACATGTAATTCCTACTTAGCTTAGCTAGTAACATTGTGTAAGAAACCTTTGTAAATCATAAACCTGTGTGTTTGTGTCTTGGCTAGAGTTAGTCGAGTTGTAAACCTTTGTAATAGAGTTATTACAAAGTGGCTTGTAAGAGTGTTACAAGTTAGTAAGGGATTAAGAGGTTAATTCCTAGGTTTCAATAGGTTGTAATCTGATGTTTGCTCGATAGTGAAGATGAAATCCTACAAGGGTAGGTCGTGGTTTTTAATCCCGTGAGCTGGGATTTTTTCACGTAAAACTCCATTGTGTCATTTACTTACTATAGTGTGTGTACGTTCTGTGGGAACTAATAGAGAACATGGTGCTCTATATAGTTTGGTGGACCCTTAGTTTCTATCAATTTGTATCAGAGCAGGTTCTTTCTATCAAGCTAACACCTAGAAAGGATCCTCATGGCTACTCTACCAAACTTCGAAGAAGGTCAATATACCTACAAACCACCAAGATTCAACGGCCAATATGGATGGTGGAAGACAAGGATCCACGACTTCATCATTGCTGAAGACTCGGAGCTTTTGGAATATCATCTGCGATGGACCCTTCGTTCCTACGAAGACCATTGGAGACCTTACAGTGACAGTTCCTAAAATAAGAAAGGAATACAACGATACTGACCGCAAGGCTATAGAAAAGAACTTTCGAGCAAAGAATATCCCCGTCTGTGGTATTGGACCAGATGAGTACAATAGGATTTCAGCATGTCAATCTGCTAAGGAGATCTGCGAAGCTCTCCAAACAGCTCATGAAGGGATAACACAAGTTAAATAGTCGAAGATTGACATGCTAACCACAGAGTATGAGCTTTTTAGGATGAAGAACGATGAGTCTATTCAGGATATGCACACTCGCTTCACATCTATCATCAATGAGCTTCACACTCTGGGAGAGACCATCCCTAGGAACAAACTTTTTAGGAAGATACTTAGTGTATTACTTGGTTCCTGGGAAAGCAAAGTAAATGCTATCATAGAGGCGAAGGATCTGCAGAAGCTCACCATTGATGAACTTGTTGGCAATCTGAAGACTTATAAAATGAAGAAGAAGAAGAAGAAGAAGAAGAAGAAGAAGAAGAAAACGGATAGTGAGAGAAGAGATCCCAAAGGTAGAAGAACCTAGTCCACAAGACGGACATCAATGACTCAGGTGGTGAGGATGCTGATATGGCCTACCTGACAGAAAGGTTTCAGAAAATGGTTCGTAGAAATGGAGGTATTCCAAAAAGAGGCAGCTCCAGCAAGCCAAAAGGTTATGACCTATGTCATAAGTGTGGTAAGCCAGGACACTTCATCAAGGATTGCCCTCTCTTCAAGCAGGATCAGTACAAACACAACACAGACAAAGCAGCTAAAAGGAACCCGGTTCCCGACAAACGATTCAAATGAAAAGATACCGCTGATAGTATTGCGAAACAAGCTCTTGCTGTATAGGGAGACTCTTCCAGCGAATCTGGAGAAGATGATGATCAAGGTGACATCTCCATGATGGCAGTGGAAAGTGAAGCAGCTAAGTATGATTCAATCTTTGCCCTGATGGCAAAATCTAACAATGATGATGATGAGGTAAACTTTCTAGATGTTCAAAGAAATCTGAATTCTTATTCTTCAAAAAAGCTTATGTCTTTGGAAAATGTTTTAATTGATTCTTATCATAGTTTTATAAATGATAAAGATGCATTAACTACGGAACTAGGAGAAGCAAAACATGAGAAAGATGACCTAGTAGTCGTTATGGTAGATTTAAAAGAAACAATTGAGAGTTTAAAGAAGGAAAAAGATGCCTTAACTAAAAAAATTACAAACATAGAACATAAGAGAAATGATCTTGTGGTTGTTGTGGTCGATCTAAAAGAAACCATTAAGTGTGTTAAAAAGGAGAAAGAAGTTTTAACTGAGAAGTTTGCTAACATTGAGCATGAGAGAGATGACCTATTAGTAGTGGTTGTAGACCTAAAGGAAAAAATTGACGAACTAAGAAGGGAAAGTAGGCCTTGGAACACTCAAAAAGGAAAGGAAGTTGCAAGTGAAGCACTCCTTATGCTTGAAAATGAGTTCAAATCAGTGAAATCTAGTCTGTGTGCTGAGCTTGAGAAACACAGACAACTTCAGGAAGATTTAGGTAAAGTGAAGAGTGACCTAGGAAAATCTCATAAGTGGACCTAGTCCTCTGATGCAATCACGACTATGCATACAAACAGTGGGAGAAACATGCAGGGAATCAAGTTCCAAAGGAAAAGACTCCCTACAACCCTCAAAGCAAGTACGTTACTACACCTAATAACTGGTTCCACACTCACTGTGGTAACACTAGGAACATTAAGGAAACCTGTAAGGCCAGATTTCAGTCTCAACAAAAAAAAAATTTTGCTGAAAAACTAACTACTGCTAGGGAACCCGACCCCTCGTATAAAAAATGTGTAATACCTATTGTGACTAAAAGTGCCCTCATTCACCCCTTTCCTCATTACAAGGGACCCAAACTTGTTTGGGTTCCTAAGTCTAACTCTTGATTTTCTTGTGCAGGGAGTAGTGAAAGGGAGCAGCCAACAATGTTACATGGATAGCGCCTGCTCGAAGCACATGACTGGAAGTACAAATGATTTCCTTTCACTGAAGGCCCTGCAGGGAGGGAGTGTATCCTTTGGAAATGGCAAGAAGGGATACATTCTGGGAGTTGGAAGGATTGGGAAGTCTTTCTCTCACTCAATTGAAAATGTATACTAAGTAAACGGGTTGAAGTACGCTTGCTGAGTGTTTCCCAAATCTGTGACAAGGGAAAAAAAGTGAAATTTGTATCAAAGATATGCACAGTCACTAATATTATGACTGGTGAAGTGGTGTTAGTGGCCAAAAGACACAAAAATATCTATGTTGTTGACTTGGAGTCCTTGCGAAATTGGGATCTCAGCTGTCTGAGTTCTGTTGATAATGATGCTGAACTATGGCACAGAAGGCTGGGTCATGCAAGTTTTAAGTTGCTGAACATATTGGTCAAGAAGGGACCTGGATCATGGTCTGCCCAGGTCAATTTTTAAGGATTACAAGGTGTGTGATGCATGTGTAATAGGAAAGCAAGTCAGATCCTCTTTCAAGACCAAAAAGGAAATTAGTACCTCAAGGCCACTTGATCTCCTCTATATGGATCTATGTGGACCTATGATGGTGCCTAGTAGAGGAGGAGAGAAGTACATCTTCGTTATAGTGGATGACTATTCCAGATTCATCTGGACTCTGTTTCTTAGAACCAAGGATGAAACCTTTCAAGTGTTTGTGGTATTTGTGAAGAAGATCCAAGTGAAGATGAGCCATAATGTAGTATATATTAGGTTTGACCATGGGACAGAATTTGACAACGCCAAATTTGATGAATTCTGTGCTGAAAATGGCATCACTCATAATTTTTCAGCTCTAAGAATACCTCAACAAAATGATGTTGTAGAGAGGAAGAATAGCACTCCTAAAGACATGGCAAGAACAATGTTTATTGACGGTGGCATCGCAAAAGGTTTCTGGGTAGAAGCCGTCAACACTGCATGCTACTTGGTGAACAAGTGCATGATCAGGTCCCTTTTGAACAAAATGCCATATGAATTGCTAAACGGAAGAAAGCCCAAGCTGATACATTTAAGGACATTTGGCTCTTAATGTTTTGTTCTCAACAATGGAAAGGAAGCACTTGGAAAATTCGATGCCAAAAGCGATGAATCTTTTTGGGATATTCATCATAAAGCAAAGCCTACAAAGTATGAAACAAAAGAACTCAACGTGTTGAGGAAAGTATACATGTGGTCTTCAATGAATCTCACCACTCATGTGAAAAGGATTAAAGATAGAAGTGATCAAGACGGAGGAGAGTCAACTGTCCATGGTGAAGTTATTGACATGGAAAATGGAAAGGCTGATATGATGAGCCACGTTGAGGAATCAAATGAGAATGGTGCAACCATATCTCCAATTGATGGAGAGGAACCCGGTCCCTCAATCACAACGACTGAAGTTGAGAATAGAGTTGTCGACGTTATCCAAGGCACCCCACATGCTAAGATGAGAAGCAACCAAGGATCACAGTTAGAAATACCAGGACGTTCTCACAATGATATCCGGTGTCTAATTGGAAGCACAAAAACTCACACCCTCTTGAAAATGTAATCATTCCTCTTGATTCAAGCATTCAAACCAGATCAAAGACAAGAAACTCACTTGCCTTCTCAGCTATTCTCTCTCAAATTGAGCCCAAAAATATCAAGGAAGAATTGAAAGACTGGATTACAGTTATGCAAGAAGAACTCCATCAATTTGAGAGAAACAGTTGATGGCGCCCGGTTCCACAACTTGCTGACCGAACTGTAATAGGAATCGGGTGGGTATTCAGAAACAACTTGATGAGTTTGGAAACACAAAAAGGAACAAGGCAAGGCTAGTATTTCAAGGCTACAATCAGGAAGAAGGGACTGACTATGAGGAAACTTTTGCTCCAGTTGCTCGAATGGAGGCCATCAATATCCTTATTTCCTTTGAATCTCATATGGAATTCAAATTGTTTTAAATGGATGTCAAAAGTGAATTTTTCAATGGTTTTCTAAAGGAAGAAGTCTTCGTCAAGCAACCACCTGGATTTGAGAATCACGATCATCCTGAGCATGTCTTTAAACTTGACAAGGCTTTATATGGGCTAAAGCAGGCTCCTCGCGCTTGGTATGAAAGGCTGTCAAAATTCCTTCTAGAAAATGGCTTTACAAGAGGAAAAATTGACGACACCCTTTTTCTGAAGAAACGAGGGAGGAACCTACTCATTGTTCAAGTCTATGTTGATGATATCATTTTAGGAGCGACGAATGATTCTCTATGTGAGGAATTTGCAAAACTCATGAGGAGTGAGTTTGAAAGGAGCATGATGGGGGAATTGAATTTCTTCTTGGGTTTACAAGTGAAGCAAACTCCTAAGGGGACAATGATAAGTCAGCAGAAGTACATCAAGGTACTGCTAAAGAGATTTTACATGGAAGGATCAAAAATCATAGACACTACCATTGCTACAGCCACTTGTCTGGACATAGATGAACTTGGTTCCTCTATGAATGAAACCATGTATAGAGGTATCATAGGGTCACTCCTGTATCTCACAGCAAGCAGAGCAGATATTGTTTTTAGTGTGGGACTTTGTGCCAGGTTTCAATCTAATCCAAAGGAATCTCATCTGAAGGCAGCCAAGAGAATCCCGAGATATCTCAAAGAAACATAGGACCTGGTTCTTTACTATCCCTCAGGAGACAATTTTGATTTAATTGGGTATGATGATGCTGATTACGCTGGCTATCTGGTGGACAGGAAAAGCACTTCCGGCATGGCACATTTTCTGGGTTCATGTCTGATTTCATGGGGTACAAGAAAATAAAACTCAGTGGCCCTCTCAACTGCAGAAGCTGAGTATGTGGCAGATGCCTCTTATTGTGCTCAACTGCTGTGGATTAAACAACAGCTAGAAGATTTTGGTGTGCTTTCTGATTGCGTGCCCTTACTATGTGACAATACCAGTGCTCTCAACATGGCCAAGAATCTAGTTGAACATAAGATAACAAAGCACATTGATGTGCGACATCATTTTCTCAAAGACAATGTTTGAAAAGGGCTCGTCTACATGAAATTTTGCAGTACAGAAGATAAATTGCAGACATATTCACCAAAGCACTGAGTAGAGAGCACTTTGAAAAGAATCGCTTGTATAGGTAAGGACCTGGTCCCTCGATGATTGGCTACGAAAGAAATGTATAG